ATACGTCTATGATCAACAAAACACATTGTACGTATTACCGAAAGTTAATTGTTACTGCGGATTTACGAAATACCCGGCAAAAACGATACACAACGTTTCGAGTGCCAAAAGTGGCGGTGAACATACTACATTGAATAAACGAAATAAAAGATAAAGAATACATTTAAGAAAAAGAGAAAAAAAAAATTAATTCACGCAAAAGTCCTAATATCATCGTATGATTTCTAAATATATGCGTCGAGAAGCATTAAATAACAATGAGCAAGAAATTGTTAAAAAGAAAGCCGACAAGTTGGCCGTCGGAGATTGAATATTTGACTAATAATATTTATGAGCCAGTTTCTTTGAAACCAGAGCAATATAGTTTGCCGTTGGCAAAAGAACACCCGAGTCATCCTTTCACCTCCTCACCTTTACCTCCGGTCGCGTCCGATCCAGCAATGCCTAATTCCTGGGTTAAGATTAAATCTTTAAAAGAACGAAAAGACCACCCAGCTTTTCCAGGTTGTGGACTATTTGCGACAAAAGAACTCAAGGAACCTTGTCTTATTATTAGTTATACTGGTATAGTCACGACAAGAACAGTTGGAGGCGAAGAAAGTAGTGATTATGTTTTAGGATTTGGCAGTCAACTATGTATTGACGGTTTGAAAAAAGGTACGCATGTTAGGTCGGGTGTAAAATATTCGGTGGCTTTGGTCACAAATCATGTGATTTCGATATTACTGGAAAAATTTTGATATGCAATGAGGACTTGTTAACGCCTTTTTTTTTAAGTTTATCATTATGTAACATTATCGCCACAAATCATAGTTGCTGAAAATTTCGCGCATTTATTTTTTCTAATTTTTTTCTGGTATTATATATCCTCTAGGAAGCGAAGCAAGATTTATCAATGATTACCGTGGAATCCTTTCAAAACCAAATGCAGCATTTCACGAATACATTGACTCTCTAAGTGGACAGCTCAAAATGGGAGTTTGGGTCATGCCAGGAGTAGGAAAAATTAAAAAAGGTGAAGAAATCGTTGTCAGCTATGGAAAAAGCTTCTGGCGAGAAAGAGGTTTTTT